TCCCGATGCATAAAAACACTTTTCCCTAACAATTCGTACTACACTGCTTGACATAAGCAAACAACCCACTGATAGGAGATTTATACATGTGTTCGCAGCATCGAATGTCCATCATAGTACGTTTCACTCACACATTGCACGAATGAAAAAAAACACCATTTTTTCAGGATAGACTCAACTTTTGAAAGGCTAGAAAATGATGTCAAAATATGCATAAAAATATGCTGCGATCAGAATTTTCGAAAGAACACACTGCCACAACCCCATGTAAAAGGAGGTCCATTTTAGAGGATGGTCTCAGGAATCTCAAGCATTCAAGATGATCCCGCACCCATTTTTCTGAGTAGACGCAACTTTTGAAGGACTAGAAAATGATCGAAAAATATACATAGAAATATTCTGCCATCAGAATTTTCCAAAGACCACACTGCCCCAGCCTTATGGAAAAGGTCTTCGGGGTGAATGTTAGCATTTAGAAATCTCGAACAGAAGCGAAATGCTACATATTCTTGCTTTTGTTGGTAAATTTTGGAGAATTGCTATAGTGTGATACTTGAAATATTGTAAGTATTCATTTCTAGTATTCTATTTGTGACCGTTTAGTAAGAACTTTTATTGGATTGGAGGAAGAGCTAATCAGAAAAAGCATATGAAGTTACGATTTTGGAAAAGAAACGGAGAGACTTTGGGGTTGCGTATGAAGAAAGATTCGTGTAGCGTGATATCTATGTTTTGGAATTGTTTGGCCTGTTTGATTTGCTTCTATATTATATATCGCGATATTTTCCTCATACTTTTTTTGTAAACATCGATTGATATGAAGTCATAGTTCTGTTTTGTCATAGAATGGATAACTACGTGTAGTCGATCGATTTCTGCTATTCAGGATCACAAGGTATTTTTCAAAGGAATCTGCGTCGTTTTCTTTACAGCTACTGCTGATCCCTCGAAAAATTCTCTGCATAATATCTCATGTTTAATCCTTTGCGCCCACTGCTAGTCCTCAGTTTTATCCTCAACTGCTTACGCCTATTCTTACATATGTATCCTTATACATGTGCCTTACATCTTGATTTAATAGATAGACCCTTGTTTCAGTAGATAGAGTCTTGTTTCAACAGATAGACCTTTGTTTCGATTTCTAAGTCTTTATGCTATCTGGGTGTGGGTGGGGTGTGGATGTGGCTTTGAATAAAAGGAAGAGTAAAATGCACACACCCATACCCACACCCACACCCTCTCTGTAAAACATTCATTTTTAATCGCTTAGTAAACTTCCTTTTGAGGTGCATAAAGTTTCAAAGGTGTCATTCTATTCGCCCTGACAACTTTCCCATGACTGTTGATCAATGAAAGAAGTAGAGAGTTCTCGGTTGGTCACAACCACATTAGCCATTACGCATCTTAGTTTTAAACGGCAGAACCCAATGAAAAAAAGAAGCTTCTTGAAATACCTCTCGAACATTTTATCTTAAGGATATCTTGTATACGGTAACTTTCCCGACGGCAGAAAAAACTTTACTGCATTTCGTACAAGTCAATCGCTTGTGAAAACTCTGGAAAGTGTTGCAAAGAACCATCAAACATGAGCCGTCGTACAAGAAATCCTTTCATCAGTCGAAAATATCTGAAACGAAGACGGTTGTGTGCCATATTCGCTAATGCGGCCCTCAATAGTTTAAAGTTATCCGCCGCTTCCGAGAAAATTGACACAGCAAATCATAGTTCAAACTCCATAACGCTCTGTCTTGTGGAGATAAATGGCTTCCCACAGTTCTATCTATCAATATTTCAATACTTCCTTCAAAAACCTCTTCACCAAAATGGGCACAATCTCATTATCAATCGTAGATAAAGCGCCAACCATCAGTCCATCATTAAATTTCTCGGTGACCAGATAACATGCTCCATGAAAACTCCTAATGGCAGCATATTCAGTCGATATTTTAACATCCTTTTCTAGCCCTTCAAAAGTTGAGTCTACCCTGCAAAAAAGGCGGTTTTTCCATTCGTGCAATGTGTGAGTGAAACGTACTATGATGGACATTCGATGCTGCGAACATGTGTATAAATCTCCTATCAGTGGGTTGTTTGCTTATGTCAATGTTTTAAGTGTTTTCTGAAATACTTTTCTAATAGGGCCTATTTTGCTAGGATATCCACTCCCGTCCTTTTTGCGCTACATTTTTTTGAAAAAAAACAAAACAAAATCTTCAATGTTTGAATCGTTAAAGCCGAGCGAAATATTATTTTCTACATGTTTTTAATAGATATTTTTATATAATTCGATAGAGTTTGACGGGCTCTACAAGAATACGAATATCAAGAAAAATTGAAATCTTGTCTCCAATTAGGGGTGTCAATTTACATTTACCTTTCATTTAATTTACGCGTAAATCAAATGATAAGTAATTAATATTTATTGTAAATGTAAATTATTTTGTTGCAAAATTTACATTTACAAATAAATGTAAATTATTATAATTTACATTACGAGTAAATGTAAATTTTGCAACAAAATAATTTACATTTACAATAAATATAAATTACTTATCATTTAATTTACGCGTAAATTAAATAAAAATAAATTTAAATCGGCATCCCGAGCCACAACCAAAAATCCATGGTGGTAGCATTCCAAATGTTTGATCAACACTGTTGAGTGCTGTTACTAGGGGGTGTCAATTTAAATTTATTTTTATTTAATTTACGTGTAAATTAAATGATAAGTAATTTATATTTATTATAAATGTAAATGATTTTGTTGCAAAATTTACATTTATGAATAAATATAAATTTCGAAAATTTATATTTACGAATAAATGTAAATTTTGAAAATTTACATTTACTCGTAAATGTAAATTATAATAATTTACATTTATTTGTAAATGTAAATTTTGCAACAAAATAATTTACATTTATAATAAATATAAATTTCTCATAATTTATATTTATTATAAATTAAATGGTAAATGACACCCCTATCTCCAATATAAAACTCGAAAGAAATCACACAGATTAATAAAAATCTCATAGATGTTGCATGAGATAGTATGGTTAACTCTCAATAACTTTAGTTGATCGATTGTTAATTGATGTTTCGAGATACAGTATCACATACTCAAACTGAAAATAAATCTTCTCAGCTACATGAATAGATGGAACAGTCAACCAGCTAAAGCTATTAAAAGCTTAATTTACTGTGTCGAATATTTGATAAATGAAATTTTTGTTAGTCTTTCTGGTTCCCTTCAAGTTTTACATTGAAAATAAGATCGGAACTTTTTTGAACATTCATATTCTCGTAGAGCTTGTCGAGCTCTATTAAACCATGTAAAATATCTAGAAAACAATATGTAGCTTACGATGTTACAATTTTTTTTCAAAAAATGTAACGTAAAAATTTTTACTCGAGATTAGTAAAATGACCGTGACATTGTAATAAATTTATGTATTTCGAACTAGGCTTTTCCAGATGATAGCTCAAACCTTTCTCTATAAAATGATATAATTTGATCCATAACTTCATATAAGGGTGTAGATATCATCAATTTACTGCGAGGGATCGAAACTTGTTGACTATCGTTTAGTACGTTTATCTGTAATCATATTTTTCGACAATGAAGATATAAAGCCTTTTTATCATAATATCTGCCGCTGTTTTGGCATAATAATCTTATGCAATTAGAAATAAAATTGGAAAATTTGATTTCTGTTCTAAAGAAAACAATAAAATATCATAAGGTTCACTGAATTAAACATTCAACTTGATATATTTATCTAATTCATCACTCAATGTTGATGAAGATTTTAAGTCACTTTTCGACACATTCAAAAGTTGTGAAGGAAGACTAATTGATGTTGTTCATTGCCAATCAAGTGTAGACGTATGAACTACTGCTGCTCCATTCGTTGTATGGCTGATAGACAATGCCAATGATTGTCGTTTAGAAATTTCACTGTTCACTTAATCTATAGCTTTATCTTGTAAACTGGGATAAAAATGAAAATATTTTGAAAGATGCATGTAAGTTGATGATAATATAGTGGATATCTTGCAATATTCAAATGTTTTGAAAACGTGTACCTAAATAGAAAAACAATCTTTTAGAATCGCACTATATTACAAGATAATCAACTCAAATTTTTGAACGTTCTGATGTATCTTGACAAAGCATTATAATTTTGCAATGACAATGAAGTGTTTTCTGATCTTTCCTATCTTATTTTGGAATAGCGTTGTACTTATTTGGTCCTAAATTTTTAATTTCTTGAAAAAAAACGAAAAAGCTTACTATAATCTTTAAATTAGGATGTTAACTAAAAATGTTGTAACTTGCCATATTCCATCATGATCATTTGGATGAACATTGCATGGATTTAATAAAGATTGTCTCAATGGCAATACATTGTAAATTGCTGGTTTATTATCACAAACAAGGACATTTTTAAGTGAAAAAAAAACTTATGTAATCTTTAAATCATAAAATGTAATGGCTTATAAAAAGAAAAGAAAAATTAATATCACATACGTGCTACCTTTCCCATTCATTTTGCCCGCAACCAACCAGATGATAAAAACATGCAAATTGAAAATAAAGAATTTCTTTCCTAAACAACATTCATTGTGTCAAAATAAACTTTTATCGCAATCAAGAAAGTCTTAAGCTAGATCGAAACGCGTTATAATTTGCTTGGCACTTATACTCCACACCCCACCCTGACCTACATTCCACATCCATATTCGCAATCCACACACTCACTCATCTTCGACACTCATTTCTATCGTTTCGTCTTTTTCTCGTTTCGTCTTTTTCTCGTTCCTTATTGCTCGTTTATTGGTGTGAATAGTAAATAAATACAACATGTAAGTATTACTTTTTCGGTATTTTTTTTCTTTCTATGGTCGTATGATGTGATACGTAGATGAAGGAAGTGATAAGCGGGATAGAAAACAAATAAGGTGCACTTATTAGTCATACACACATTTCATACAAGACATGACATACCGAACTAAACGTTCCTTTACAATTTCCAACGATGAAATTGGTTTACAAATGCAACATCGACTACTCCGACTATTTCAACGCCATCAAAATCATCGTTCTCTTTACTCGCCCCCGAAACCCTCACCACTTTACTTAGCTTGTCAAAGCAATGATCTAGCACATGTTGAATCATGCCTGAAAAAAATGAAACGTAAAGAAATCGATTTTCAATATTCACCGAACAATGAAACTGTCCTACATGTTGCAACACGAAGCCAACATAAAGAAATTATTAAAATTCTTCTACTTCACGGCGCACAAAGATCGCTAAGAAATGCAGATGGCCGACAAGCTTATCAATTAGCTGAAACAAAAGAAATCAAAGATTTATTTAAACGCCCGAAATCCTCTCGTTTTGTATTTCTAAACAGCGGTTTTGCAATGACTACCTTATTTCAAAACAAGATAAAATGTGAAAGTTGTTCTCTGGTAAATGATAATACTTTATATGAATGGGAATTGATTGATCGAAATGCAGCACAGAAAGCAGTGAGATTTCGTCGTGAATTCGAAAAGTCCACATTAATGAATAAAAAAGTTTTGAAACAAAAACTTTATTCCACTAAGAAAGGTTATCTGAATGCACGTCTACAAGATATTTCCGAAGCAGATGGTGCTCGTATAAATGATTATTTTAAACGTGCACTACGTCAAAATGAACCGTATTATATTGTTACTGCATATACCATATGCCAAAATTTTTCACACTTGTTAAACACCGATATGGCGCGCAACGTCATACATGATTTGAAGAATGGTTGTAGTAAATTTTGCTGCGACTGCCTCTATTCGACGGAAGATGGTACCAAAGCAATCACAAGTATTCTCCTTCATCATCCAAATTTTCAAAAGCTCAATTTCAAGGGTCGAGTCTATCGTGGTATTGTCGCCTCTAAGAGTGCTCTTTGTCATTATAAAGTTGGTTCATGTATTATCACAACTACATTTCTCTCAACATCAAAGGACCCTGAAGTTGCTCAAATTTTCTGTGATAAAGCAGTGCGTAACCCAACTACAGATTCATTGTTTTGTACTTATGAAATAGTTAATGAAGACCGTACTGCTCTTGATATATCTACAATATCAGAATTTGAAGATGAAGATGAAGTATTAATCCTGCCGTATTCAGCTTTTCTTATTACAAAGATTGAACAAGGACAAGAAACAAGAAATATTTATTTGAAAGAGCTATGTTTAACACATATGTTTGACAGTAATGGATCGAAAGAATGGTCAATTAATTCGACTACATGTCTACTGGAACTTGCCGGAAGCAGTCTATTGCATAATACAAGTGAGATATTACTACAAGAGAGTGCCAGCATGAGATCACGATCAAACACAATGCCCGTATTAACCACACGGTTTTAGCTGTGGGATATTACTTACAAACTCTAATTTAAGTTCACTGTCCTGTTTTTTCATGTAATAATGGAAGTTAAGTTGAGAGATTATTTTGCTGAAAGTCAGACACTACATTCGCACTCCTTTTACTTCAAAAGAAAGTGACATTGGGTAGTTCAATACAGTAGCGTATACGCAATTTTTCACTACTGTAGAAACGCTCAGCGAAGCTCTTGTAATGATTAAGCAGTTCAAAAACCGGCTGGGCTAGTCTTTTTAACATATCCTAATTTTCATTGACGAGCAGCATACTAAAAGACAAAACAGACAGCTCAACCACGTTTTTACCCATGCGCAGGAAATGCACGGAGACCAAATTATTTCATGAACACACTTTTTTATTGTTCTGAAAGCACTTCAATTTGTTTTTTAACAAAGTAGATCAAATGAACATTGTCATCAGCAATTGCCGAGGAGATGCTTTGAAAAAAGAAAATAGCTTCAGAAAATTATATAAAAATTGATTACTCAGCTATCAACTCTTAGTCAAATTGTTCTTTTATCTCTCGTGCATTATTGGCAGCTTCTTTCTTAGTAACAACTCATTTTTTGATGAGATATTAATACGACGTGATGAGGGAATGACGGAATGATTTGACTATTATTTGCACTTGCGTCGTGACATTTTTCCATGGTTTCGAGAATATCACCAGACTAAAAACGGTAGAACCATCGACCGTTGGTAACATGTGAAGAATGGTTTTTGTATCAAACAATTCTTGCCAGTATCAAATATAATGAAAGGATACTTTCAAGTAGTTGAGACATACTGAACTATTGTACATCCCATTGCTATGAGAATGTACTTGTTGATCTTTGTAATAGTGGCTATGTACAATAGGGGTAGAGGAGTCAGAAAAATTAGCCCTAAAACTTACACCCTGTTTTTCTTCGTAAAATATGTAAGTTCCACAAAAGAGAGGAGCGTGATTATGTGAGAGGGGGGGGGGGAGGAGCGCATGAGCACAACAAAAACATTTGAATAGCTCCACATAGCATATAGAGGGAAGTATATGCATTTCTGACAACTGTAAAAAGGCAGAAAAGAAAAAAAAATTATCTAAAAAGAATACAATAAAATAGGTTGGTAATGATTCAGCGTGGTTAAAACGACTGATGATTGCAAGCAGTAGCAATCAGAAAAGAAGATGAACATGCAAATCAAAAAAGATCTATCGAAGAGAAATTATTTGAAATGTTTGAGTGTAATAGTGAATATACGTATACCAAAGAATATCGTAACGATATACAGGCTCAGATGAAATTGAACGAATTTAAGGTGACGAAAATTTTTTTTAATTTTTAAAAAAAGCTAAACTTTTTTAAGAAAAGAGTGCTTCATCTTGAGTGAAAGTAAGACACATATCTAGTGAAAGCTTAAGAATGAGTTTGACTCAAAGTTGTATGCAAAGACGAATATTTGTCTTCATCGAACGGTAGACACTGTACACAGTTATAGACTCGTTTCTTCAACAATCTGCTCGTCAGTAACTTCTGGTATAATACTTGACGATACATGACACCAACGACACGAAATTGTTAGCTTAAGTCATTTAATTATTTCAGTTTCACGAAATAGATTCATATAAACATTTGAATGATAAATATAGATCAAGAATGTGAGAACTAAGGGCATGTATAACAGAAAGCCGAGAGAAATATGTAAACGGAGATAAAATTTTTGCATTCTTTTCTCTACACTATTTGTTTCAATAATGGTTACCAATAAATTTTCTGGAATCGTACAAATGATAATAATTAACGATAGTATAAAGAAATCTTTGTGCTTCAAAATTTATTGCGTTATTAGTAATTGCCATAAAGTTCTTTCTAAGTCAGTTAAAATGATTTTACGATGAATAATATGTGTTAAAATGAGAACCATCGATGAAAAACTTAATAAAATGAATATAACAAAATTTGAATAGATACCACCCATGGTTTCATGAAATGTTCTTAAATTTTTATTTCAGAAATGATGAAAGGAATAGATGTACGATGTTGTTGAAAGCACAGGATTTTCTTCAACAGTACGTTCAAAAGCTGCTATTATACTTTCTGATGTAAGAAATAGAAATAGCATAATAAAAAAAAATTGAATACTTTCGCGTACAATAAAGACTATAATGGAAAACCTGAATTAATACATGTTCAACAGCTGTAAATACACTAGGCCATAGATATATGTCATATGTTAGACACAGAAACGCTGGCATGAATGTGCAGTGTATTAGTGGATGTTTCTCTAGTTCATTATTGTAAAATAATGCTACAATTGCAATAATTTCTAACCACGCTACATCAATAAAACTAAAGATAGAATAAAGTATTATATAGAGTCCACACACTGCAATACATATTTTTTTGTATAAAACATGTTGAAAGAGTTAACAAATTAATAATAAACGATAGAATTGCTAAAAAGAAGAACATGAAAATACAAAAAAATTTGTAATGCAATTGTAGTAGAAGCTGATTCTTTCGACAGAATATCAATTGATATCAATGATAACATCGAATAGTACACATATTTATACAAATTTTTACACAATTCATCTCCTATACAATCCCTACAGATGCAGTAATAGTTTAATGTTTTATTATTGATTAAACCTTGTCCATTACTTAAACACTTACATTCACTAAGTCTGTAATGATCATTAGCGTGTGATTGAAAATTTCAGGTTATTCTCTAAGTCCAGCCGTTTTTGCACATTCACATATATTGAACTAAAAATTGTGACAGGTGATGCGCTATTTTCCTATTTGTAGAAAGCTTTTAGAATTCTTTGATTTCGATGAATTCTTTCCAAAACTTACTGCACTATTGACATCGTTCATTTTACAGAATATTTAAAATAAGTTAACCAAACAAACAGAAGGAATTTGGAGGCAACGCCGAATTGTCAATTTCGTTAAAAGATACATTACTATCAGTTTTACAAATTTCTCTTCAGAGGTGATCGATTGTTTCTATATCTAATATTACTTAATTTCTTCATGTTATTCAGTTAAAGAATGTCTTACTTTTAAAATACAATGCTCATAGACAGACGAGATAGAGCGCCGAGTTCTGGAGAATTCGATTTTTGATTTTACACATAGTCGTACCTCGAAATTGAACAGACGGCTTCAGTTATAAAAGAAGAGCTGAAAGGTATTCTTAATAGATCCAAATCACGAACAAAACAGGTTTAATGTTAGTTCTTATTAAGGAAGGAAGTTTCTTGTGTGCTTTTTCATTGGAAGCAGATTATTCGAATTCGACACAAAATTATGTTTGTTCTCATTCATTGCATATAGGTAAATATATAAATTGGAAGAGATTTTTTTCCGACTCGATAAGTTTTTCCATTGAAATTTTTGAACGGCTGAATAAAGTCTGAAAAGTATATATTCATACGCATGTTAATTTCTTCTTTTTTAAGCGCCCTAGAAAATGGGCATTTTGTCCTGTATGCACAGATACTAGAAAAAATTTGAAAGAGACAATTATATGGATGATAGTTTAAGCTTTATGTACACTGTCCATTGGTCTGGAAGAGATAAATAAAAGACTCTCACTTTATCAACGAAAAAAATAGCGAAAAATTGCAATCGACGAACAAAATACATGCTTTTTTTGAATCCAGTTGGATGTTTTGATGGCTACAAGACCATTTTATATCACCGATCAACGGTCGCAGCAAATACTGTATGATGGTATTAGATATAACCACAGAAAAAGAATTATGAAGTTTGGAGTCATGCATCTATCATAACAAATCATAAGAAAAAATTATATGGTGGATCCCTATCCTCGCTGCCAAAAATGTCCTTAATGAGCATGCTCTATGCATGCATGCAATCACTTCAGGAGGCAAAATAGCAAACTGAAAGAACGATAAAAAAAAACCATGTCTTGTCTTATTATTTCGTAATCCATAAATAGACTACAATTTCAATACTGTTATTGGTTAAACCCATGCCATAAAAATATAGTTCTGATCTGTCTTGCTGTCCAGTAATCTTTTTTTCGAGTTTAGCATTGTGGTGTTGGCTGGCGACAGGCCTGAAGATGTTGGGTTTGGTGCTATGTAGATTGATATTTAATAAAAGTTATTAGTAGGAAAAGACAGGTAGGTGTAAATGACGAGTATCTATTTTACGATCTAGAATGATTATCTGAAGTTGGTAAAAAAAAGAAGTCAAATCAGTAATGGGAGATTGGTTTAATCGATGGTTTCTCACTATCTTTTGTCAAACCTTATTGTTCACGAGACTTGAAGAAAGTAGCGAGGAAAACGAGTATATGTACCTACTATATAGATCAAAACGGCACGTCAATATGAGAAATGAAATAGTGAGCCTCCAAATTTAATAGGTTTTTACTGTGAGACCTTAGGAAACTTGAATGCGTTTCAAATTCCATCATTCAGCAAAACTTGTATTTTCTCCTTCGTAATATTCTGGTCATGAGACTCCATAACAGTAGGCAATAAGCATGGCAAGAATTCTGGGGGACGATTACAGTGACTCAATTGTGTTTCGGATTTACGTACTACTGGAATTGCATGGAAAGTTTTTTCGAGGTAACGGTATGTTCAAGGACATATTACTATAGTGCTTCTTACGTCATAATGCCTTGGTTTACTGCTACTTTGTTATGAGTGTAGATGAGCTTGCGGCAGTGCGGTTTATGATGTTGGGTGTGATTGTGTGTAGCATGGTGTGTCTCTTTTCGTGTGGTGTATGAGTATCTGTGTTATTATTTGAATAGTGAAAAGAAGCACTGAGCTGAACACACATCGACACCTTTGTTGACATTCTCATGGGGCCGACATCCACACCCTCCAAAAATGTTGATATTCTAAATCTTTAATCATCTTTAGATCACTGAAAATTGATAGCGTATACGCCTCGTTTTCAGTCAGCAAGCGTGACAACACATCTACTTTACCGTAGTAAACTTTATGAATACAGATCAT